TCCAAATGTCTTTTAAACATTGTAATTGCACCCATATCCGCTTCCTCTGAAAATTCATTCCATACACGAACTGACTCTCTGTGTGAAAAAAAATTACCCCTTGTGTCTTTTTTGAATCTTTCTCCTCTCACCTTAGAAATATGCCCCCTAATCTTGAAATCTCCCACCCTAGGGAAAAGACACCTGCCATTCACCTTATCTATACCCCTTATGATTTTATAAACCTCTACATGGTCACCCTTCAACCTCCTATACTCCAGTGAAAAAAGTTCCAGCCTATCCAACCTCTGCTTATAACTCAAACTCTCCATTCCCAGCAACATTCTGGTAAATTTCTTCTGAACCCTCTCCAGCTTAATAATATCCTTCCTATAGCAGGACGACCAGAACTGGGTACACTACTCCAGAAGAGGCCTTACCACATCTTGTACATCCTCAACATAACATCTCAACTCCTATACTCAAATGCCTGAGCAATGAAGGCAAACATGCTAAATGCCTTCTTTACCACCCTACTTATATGTGATGCAAACTTCAAAGAATTATGTGCTTAGACCCTTTGGTCTATTTATTCTACAACTCTACCAAAGGCCCTACCTTTAATTGTACAAGTCTTGCCTTTGTTTGTTTTACCAAAATGCAATACTTTACATTTATCGAAATTAAACTCCATCTGCCACTCTTCAGCCCATTGAACCATTGATCAAGATCTCTTTGCAATCTTAGATAACCTTCTTCACTGTCTACTTAACCACCAGTCTTGCAAACTTACTAACCATGCTTTCTATATTCTCATCTAAATCATCTATATAAATGACAAAACAAAAGTGGACCTGGCACTGATCCTTGTGAACACTGCTGGTCACAAGCCTCCAGCCCGAAAAACAACACTCCACCATCACTCTCTGTATCCTGCCGTTAAGCCAATTTTGTACCCAATTGGCAAACTCACCTTGAACCTCATGACGTCTAACTTTACTGATTAGTCTATCATGCAGAACCATATCAAAGGCTTCACTAAAATTTAAATGAACAATGTCTACTTCTCTACCTCCATCAATGTTCTTGGTTACTTCCTCAAAAAAACTCAATCAAGTTTTTGAGACAATTAAAATTAATATTTATATTATTATCATTTCTTTTTTCCAGAGTTCATTAGCATATGACATGAGTCAATGTGATGGAGATTGATGTGATCAAATCCAATATTGACAGAACATCCCAACCATGAAATTTGATGGATTTTGGAATTGGGAGAATGGATAGAATTGTGAAATGGAGCCAATATTTTCAAAGATGACACCTCACTACAATGACATCTCTGGGTCTTGTAAGTAGATACTCTCCCAAATTAATGGAAGAAAGCAACTTTCTGGTGAAATAAAGGAGGTAGGGCCATAGATTCTGTATCTAGAATGGTTTGAGTATCTGAGCTGGTGAGCAAGGTGGCAAATTCAACTATATCCTGATATTTAACACAGTGGCACAAAAAAATAGGACCTGGAGGAGGTCATTTACCCCTAAGGGCCCTCTTTGCTATTCAACATGATCATGGCTGATCCTCTCTCTCATTGCCATTCTCCCACTCTGTCGCCATACCTCCTTAGTCCCAAGGAGATTGTGTCTTTGCTATCTACTAATTGAAATTATCTAATTACCTATTTCTTTCTGAAACATATTCAATGATTTGGCCTCCACTTTGGTAGAAAATCCCACAGGTTCACCAGCATCTGAGTGAAAAAAGTTCCTCCTTTTCTTAGCCCAAAATGGCCCACCCCATATCCTGAAACAGTGACCCCTTGTTACCCCATGGGCAGGAAAATCACCATCCCTGTACGTATCACAACATTTCCCCCCTTACTGCCTCTCGAGCCTGCTCCTCAAAGTCATTCACCTTAGAGGCACTAGCATCCCTCTCTGTCTATGCATTTCCTTACGTTCCCATCTAACCACTGATGCTTACCTTCATATTTAAGTAATGTCACCCCTCTCTATCATAGTCATTTTCAATAAATGATCTCTGGCAATCCATTTAATGTATCCAATTATTTTCACTCATATGTCTCAATTTTCCCTCTCTGTTAGGACAAAACATAAGGGAGAGGGACAGCATTGGAGGTGGGACACTAGCCATCTCACATGTGCCAGCTGTAAATGACAGCGTGCTGGACGTGAGTAGAATTTCTGACCATTGGAGAATGGTGTTGAGCATTGTTCAACGACCTGGTTAGAGAATTAAATATCAGGCAGTCACATGGCAGACAGCACCCATTCACCTGGACTTCATGATAGTGGCAAGTGCCAGTTCGAGACTCTCTGAAACAGTTGAGGGGGAGGTTGGTTTGATTCAGAACACAGTCACATCCCATAGGAAAGCTTAGGTTCATGGCAGTAAGCAGTCAGTGATTTGTTTGTTAGATATAATCATTATGTCCAATTAACAGAAGCTGTAAATGAATGAGTTACAGTAGTTTGAAAGACTAGAGGTGGAAGGACAAGATATGTGCTGAGATTATGCTACATGCGAATTTGTCATCTGTGAGAGTTTCCCAGATTCCCATATCTGCAGCAAATGTCTCTTGCCTTTTGTCACCCTGGCAGCTCCGATTGAAGTTTCTGTACCTCAGCCCCCAGACCACTTTCGTGTAAACCTCCTGTTTTCAGATACTGCCTTGTAGAAGTTTCACTGCCAATCCAACTTCTGCTTTATCCCAGTTCCCACTCTCTCTCCTTCTCCAACCAAAGATAATCCCCAATTTCTGCTCTTTCCTCAATTTATTCTTGCTCCCGGTCTCATTCATTAATCCCAGCTCCCACTTCACTGCTTCATCCTAGCTCCTGCTTTTACTTCATCCCAGTTTTGACTCTCACTACAAGTTCCCAGCTCCCACTTCCATTACATGTTCCCAGCTCCCACTTTCACTCCTTAAAACAGCTCCCACCCGCTCAGCTTCCATTCTGTGCTTCATCCCAGCACCCACTTACCCCAATTTATCCCAGCTCCCTCTCTCTGTTTTATCCAAATTCTCATTCCCCAATGTTTACTCCAGCTCCCTCTCTGCTTTATTCCAGCTCCTACTGTCTGTGCTTTGACCCAACTCCCACACTCACTCCTTATTCCACAATCTGGGAGAACATAAAAAGGAAACACACACAAACAAAACTGTTGCTCACATCTGAGATGTCTGACTATTGTGCTGATTTGATGTATGTAAGTTTAACCTTAAACTATGTTTGCAGATTGTTCAGTCTCTGATCCTATACAATTAGATTCTCGCTTCCACCAACACTTATAAAAACTGACAGACAATGTTTACTTCATGTTTCAGTATAACTCCTTCTTCACCTTCTTATTAACCACTGCTGTGCTTTCATTATGTTTATAAACAGTGCTGCCAATTCCTCTTATATTGTTTGCAAACTTCTCTCAGATTTACTTCTTGTCCTGCCAACCTCACATTCTGCTTCTTCATTGCATATGATCATACCTGGCAATTTTTCTCATTCTTTGAGTTTCATCATATCTGTCAGTTTTAGCTTTTTCTTTACCCCATCCTTTGGTGATCCTATTTTTTTCTTCTAGGAATACATCCATTTTGCATTTTAATAACGGGATAGAAAGATATATGTCCAAACTTGCCAATGACACAATCGTGGATGGAAATAGGTGAAAACATAAAAACCATAAAGAGGCATGAATAGATTTAGTACAAGGGCAAAATTGTGGTAAATGAGTATTCATTGAAGTGAATGTAAGACTATGCTGTTTGTACATAAGAGCAGATAGCTTTTACAGTTGTGAGTAACTTAGCAATAATCAAAGTCCAAAGAGATATGGAAGGTCCATGTACATAGATAATTAAAAAGTCACTAATAGGTACAGAAATAGTCAAAATCGCTATTAACATTTTGGCCCTTATGTCTGGAAGACTCAGATACAGGCACGTAGAAATTATGCTACAACTATAAAAATGTAAAGTTGCTCTGATCCCAGAGGAACCATAGTGCTGCTGTCTCATTTGGTAGAGAGGTGGAGAGAAAGATGACTGGTAATGTTTAACCTGTGGGTCTCCATGCCTTAGGTGAGGGACAAGGTCAAGAAGGCAGGACCTTCACGATGACATCAGCCATAAAAAAAACCCACTGTATTGTAAGTACAAAGTACAAGCAGATTTAGACACCACATCTTATGAAGGATGTATTAGGCTTAATTGGTAGGGGTGTTGTCTAGATTGTCTCAAAGACTGGACTTCATAAAGTATAGTGTTGGATCCATGAGAATTTATCAGGTTAATGGATGATTTTATTGACACTTTCAAGATATTTACGCAAACTGATTATAAATAGAGGAACTACTTCCACTAGTTGGAGAACATTGGATTGGGGTCATGGTCTAAAAATTAAAAAAAAATTAATCAATTCCTCATTCTCGGTATTATATCTTATATTGTTATTTGGTCATTTTGGTCACCTTACTGGATTGGAATAGGTTAATAAAAAGCATTGAGCATTTCGAAGAGTCAAGAAAGAGCCTGATCTTCTCTCTCATTTCCTTTTTAACCCACGTATTATACAGAATAAAAGCAAAAAGAAACGTAGAGGGTAATTCCTTTTTAATTAAATTCAAATAAAAATGAAGATCTCCACAAAAGATTTCTTTTTAACTAAAAGCAAACTAAAAATGGCCATTGCATAAAGAAGTATACAAATAAATTAAACAAAGGATTAAGTTATCAAAGCAAATGAATGAACAGAAGGTGTAATAATTTGCAGCGGGCAGCATTACAGTAATGTGCAATATGTGGTTATCATTTTGGGTCTTGTGCAACTGTTTGCATCGAAAGGAGGAGATGCGGGCTTTGAGTCTAAGTGCACTTCAAACAAACTGGGCCCACGTGGCCTCTGTTTTTAAAAAAAGGTCATCTATCTATAGAGAGAAAACAAGGAAACAAATCAGGCCACCGTAAAACAATACACAGGTCAGTAGCTTGCTCAGCAGCAGAGCAAGAGCCAGCATCTATAGGGAGCAGAACATCCCGTGCCTGTTATCAAGATCATTTTCTTTGGATTATGGAGCAAAGAAACTTCTTTTCCATGCAAATGGTTGACAGTGAGAACTGTCCTCCATGTCAGCCATCAGCTGCATGGCCTGTGGCCCTTCAAGAACAGGGACTCAAGAAGAAACTGGGCTGGCTGAAAGTCTGCCACGCTCTGACTGTCATCATGTTTTTTCTCATTCTGGCTGGCCTACTGTCTGGCATATGTTATTTACACCGACTCCAACGAGAAGTTGAGCAAGTGAAGCAGGTAAGTTATCAGTTTACAGACTTCTGAAAGAAAACTAAAGCATTGACACAAAAGAAAAAAAAAAATTAGAACCAATTACACTAAACACTTGTAATATTTGCAGATGATCGATGCCCACCCACAGAATAGTGCCCAGAAGCAAATTGGTAAGTACAAACCTTTCTTTCTGTGAAGGAAATGTCACAGTAAGTGAGCAAATCATGTGATGGATCCCTTTATTTCTCTTTGGGGATTTTTAAGACTGCCCGTGAAACCAATTGTCATGGTCTAAATATGTTATGTTTTAGGAGCTGAGGACATGACCAAACCAAAGCAAGTGGTTAAAATGGCTGCTCATCTAACAGGTCTGTGGATACTCTTGTGTCTTTCATACAGATGAACAAGCAAAAAAAAGAAACCAGTTACTAGGAAACAATAAGGGGGGATATGTGTATTGGAGAAAAAGAAATAAAATATGGTAAAATCACAGAATACGATGAAGTAAAGATGTAATAAAAGGCAGAAAAACAACGTAAAGAAGGAGAAAGGAAATGATTTTTAAATGCATGCAGCATTAACATGTTAATATCTTGAAATTCTGAGCAATTGTTTCAGCTTGTTGACCATAATTGACAAGTGTATATGTCTAAACCAGATTATTCAGCATGTTTGTGGCCATGTTACATAATATATTTATCTCACTTTGAACTGCAGGAAAAACATCATCTAATCATTCCAATAGATTGATGTGGGAGACGTCCCTGGGCCATGCCTTTACAGATGGGATTATATACAAGGATGGAGCGCTGATCATTAATGAAACTGGAAAGTACTTTATTTACACAAAAATCTTTTTCCGTGGAACGCAATGTGAGGCTGTCCCACTGTCCCAGTCTGTAATCACGCGTAGTATTAATTACCAGAATGATCTGAGCTTGATGGAAAACATCCTGCTAAACTATTGCAGTGGCACTGGACCGTGGGTGAAAAATATCTTTCAGGCTGGAGTATTTCATCTGAATCACGGAGTACAGCTATTTGTCAGTGTGTCCCATGCAAAAATGGTTAGTACTGACGAATTAATGACTTTCTTTGGACTCTATAAGCTTTAAGCCATACTTGTAATATCCAAATGACCTCTGAACACACCAACGACCTTTGAACTTCAAGCCATGTGACACAGGGAAGCTCAAATGTTTGATGAATCTTTGGCCATTTGTTTTTCTTGCACGCTTTTAAGAAATTTCTGAAACAGCATAGTATTTGAAGTTTAAGAAGTCTATGTAAGATTAAAAAAAACCTAGCAATTGAAATGTGAACTGCACGCAATTATAATATTTAGTTCCAATTTTCATTCCTTCTGACTTAAGTTGAGGTACAGTTCAATGGATGTGAATAGCCTTCCAGTGCCTTATATAAGTGATTATTTTTCACGTGTGAGGCTAAATAGTGTGTACTATGGAACTATTTTTCTTCAGAAGTGAGGAGCATCATCTTTGAATCCCTTCACCTGACGTTCATATCCCACCTCGACTCAATAACCCTTAAAGCTTTTGCCTAACAGAAATCTATCAATTGCAGTGTTGAAATTGTCGTCTTTATGTGGGAGAGATTACCTTTTGTGCTTTCTGATTTCAGCCCTGAATGACCCGATTCTAAATTTAAGGTTAAGCCCTCTTGTTCTGGTCAGTCCGACACAGAAGAAACAGCATCTCTCTACCCTGTTGAACTATCTAATCTTCTTAAAAATTACTGTTATGCCACCACATGCTCTTGGGATACACAACTGACCTGTTAATTTAACCCCTTTACCCTTAATATCATTCTGGAGATTCTCCAGTGCCTGCAATCCAATGCCAATATCCTTCCTGAGGTGTGGTGCCCAGAAATGATGAGGCACTTAATCAGAACATAATGTCCACTCCTTGTACTGTAACTCCCTTTAGATAATTCTGTGATGATTTATAATTACATTCCATATTGGCCCGTCAGCTTTGGATATGTGGGCCTTTAATTGTATCCGTTCTTTCACTGTTCCCACCTTTTCACAAAGTGCTTCATAGATGATCAAATGGACTGAGTAATGTAAACATGGACACTCACTTTGTCACATGTGGATGAGGAGCACTAACTCCTGTGAAATTTAGGAGTTTACACCGTGATGGGATTGCCTCAGAATAGTGTACAGTCAATCTCATTATCACAAGTGCAGTTTTTTGATTTCTGTTTAATACTTCTGACAATGCTGGGGAGTGACGTCCATAATGTTGACTCAGGGGGTGTGGATACACCCTGATTTAGTGCTGGCTTTAGGGCGGATGGCTCTTATCAGGCTGGGGTAGACACAATAGGCCAATGGCCCCCCTTTCCTACTGCAAATGCCAATAGTATTTCTGTAATTTGATGGTGGGAAATGTCACAAATTCAAGATCAGTTTTGAAATCTTCACAAAAACAGCTGAAGCAGGAATTCATCACTTTATATATAACATGTCACGCCTTCTTAAAGATTTAATTTGAAATAGGTTTATGAAATCCAACCACTTTCCCCTCTTTTTCTTCAGTAAAGGACTTTGAAGGCTTTCCAATTTTTCTACTCTGCTGTGAGATGTGGCACCATGGCAATGTCTCTATCCTTGCCCTCAGCAGTTGAAATTCACTCAGAGCCTATCCATGTATGCTTCACTCATGAGGTGGCATTGCTCAATGCATCAGTACGCTGCACCATTGCATTGTCTGTATCGACATTTAAGGTACCACAAGGTACCACACATCAGATTTTGCCTAAATGCACCCTGTGTGAACCAGGTAATGATGTTTTTCAACACGAACCACCACTCCACACAAGTGAATGTCGAGATGGAGTTGGGGGCTGATTTTCCTACTGCTTTTTAAGTGTAGCAAATTTAACCATTTTGTATATGTTGGTTAAGCGTTAAAGGAAAGATTTCAATTTTATTTTTACTTTATTCTTCATGTTACTGTTGCAAAAAAGGTTCAGAATCAAGTTCATGTAATGCTTTCAAATCATTTTATAATTGGAAAAATTGCTTATATGTTGTTTCAAATAAAGCTTTAATGATTACATTTACGTTTACATTTGTGTGTGAAGGCTTGGAAGATACCTATTCAAACTAAGTTAGCAGCAAGTTAGATGCTATATAGACATTAAATATTTAGAAATGAATGGCAGCAACTGTATCTAGTTGGAGTTTGCCCAGCTTGACCTTTTATACATCTCCGTTTCAAAGCAGATTCCTGGCCCTGGGGGTTACAATGTTCAGATCAAATGGTTATATAATCAAAGGAATCCAAAAATCATCATCTGTTGTATGATATGATGTGAATCTGTATGGAGTACCGAAAAAAGAAATTCATGTGTATAACGATTAAAAAAGGGCAGTTTGACACAAATACATATGTCTGTATACTTCAGTCAATGAAGGAATGCTTTCTGTCAAAGTCGCAGGGAAACCCCAGAGTTGTTGCCAGCTAATATTTACATATTACTGAACAGGAAGGTTTGACCTTAGCAGTGAGGCCATTTACAGCTGAAAAGCCAAAATCCTAGACCAATTGACAGCGTCCTCACTCCCACCCAATTTTCTCCCTGTACAGATTCACTAGAAACCCAGCTCTCCCTGCCTTCTGATGGCAGTTTCTTCCTACAGACCATTCCTTTAGTTTCTTTGAAATGATGATAGCAGCAGTTCCTCCTCAACACAACAGGGTAACTATCTTTCAGACCTAAGGCATTGTTAATCCAGTGCCAAAAAATGGTTTGAAAGTATTTTGATGGTATTAGAGTTTCATGTTGCTTCCATCTACGGGAAAGTGCAGTGGGGTCATCAAAGGAATCAACTTGTCCACTGAGATAATAAATCGAGACCCTCTACCGTCCACCACCCCTCCCCACCTCCTGATCTCTCACACGGACGTTAACATTCCCTCCACACTTTTATACTCTTACCCTATAGCTCCTTATCCAGTATCTCCCAACCTGGCCTCTGGCTATATCCATCAGACCTCTAGTCACCGATGTCTCATTACCTCCGGGATTCAGCATCCTGCATTCTGGGCTTTCAGCTGAGACCCCCAACTCCTCACCACCCCCAACTCCTAAATTTGCACCCACTGACCCACCCAGAGCGTGGATGCGAGCTGGTCAGTGAGTAGGCCCAGCATGGACCTGAGTCAGTCAGCATCTCTGCAAGATGGCGGGAGAGCAGTCTCATCCCCTGTCTCCGCGCTTTCTATTCTCTTCCTTTCTCATTTTTTTTTTACCTCTTTTTTTCAGGTTTAGTACGTTATAAAGTTTTTCTTCTGCTAACTTACCTTCCAGAGAGAGGCAGCAGCGGTATTGGGATAATTGAATTTGGTGGTCAGCTTAGTGTACAGTGCAAGGCAGCAGTTGGGGGCCTGACCTGGAGAGTTCCCAAGGCCTGGCCCCTGCAGTGACGATGAGAGCAGGGGAGATCGCTCCAGTGCGGGCAAAACATGCCAAAGCGAAGGAAATCGAGCCCCTGTAGGAAGTGCAGTTCCAGCATGGCTAAGCGCTTCAGCAAGACTTATTACTAAGAAGAACTGTAATATTTAACTTTTAACTTTGTTCCTTATTTCTTTCTACATCGTCCTTAAGTTTTTGTATCTAGGTACACGTACGTAAGATGGCACTGTGTGTGATGACGTTGTAAACTTTTCACTGTACTCCTGTACTTTTGTACTTGAGTACACCTGACAATAAGAGTCTAAATCTTAAAATCAGATTGGACTCCATCTGCCACTGGTTGGCGTGCCTACAAGCCAGGCAACTTCCTCTGATTGGAAGCTGGATCTGTCAATCAGGGCTGTGGGTCAAGCCTAATGGAGTAATCTTCCACTTTACTGCACCCCCTACCCACTGCATTAGGAAAGTTACAATCTCGCCCTGCCCCTGTACCTTTACATCCCAAATAATATTTCACTGGCCTTCTCCACTTGCTTTATTTTTTATTCATTTATGGGATGAGGAGCGTCGCTGACTAGGCAGTATTTATTGCCCATCCTTAATTGCCCAGAAGGCAGTTAAGAGTCAACCACATTGCTGTGGGTCTGGAGTCACAAATAGGCCAGACCAGGTAAAGATGGCAGTTTCCTTCCCTAAAGGACATTAGTGAACCAGATGGGCGTTTCCCAACAATCGGCAATGGATTCACGGTCATCATTAGACTCTTAATTCCAGATATTTATTGAATTCAAATTCCACCATCTGCCATGGCAGGATTTGAAACTGGGTCCTCAGAACATTATCTGGGTTTCCAGATTAACAGTCCAGCGATAATACCAGTAGGCTATTGCCTCCCCGTGCCACCTTCAAAGAGTTTTGTACATACATGTCCAGCTGCTTTTGTATCCATATTCTCTTTAAAATTCTACCACTTTATATTGCCTCTCCTCATATTCCCTAGCAAAAACTCTGCCAATTTTAAGGATATAGTTTCCTCTGCAAATTTGTAATTATACCGTGAATACTCAAGTCAAGGTTATTAATATATACATGTCATATAATCGGATGAGGGTGCATTTTCAGGATAGCAACCTGTAACTAATGCAGTGCCACAAGGATACTTGCTGGGAGCACAATGTATATTCATCAGGTGGATGACAGCAATGAATATACTATCGCCAAGTTTGCAGATGGCATGGAAACAAGTAGGAAGATAAGCAGTGAGGATAACACAGAAAGTCTACAAGAGGGATATAGACAGGTTAAGCAAATGGCCCCAAAACATTGGAGATGAAATATTATGTGGAAAATTGTGAGGTCATACACTATAACAGAAAGAATAGAAAGGCTGAATATTATTTAATTCTAGAAAGACCACAAAATGCAGTAATGCAGAGGGATTTGGGGTCCTCAAGCATGAATCACAAAAAACATATATACAGGTTCATTAAGTGATAGAGAATGCAAATGGATTGTTGGCTCTTATTTCATAGAGAATGGAGTGTAAAAATAGAGAAATCTTGCTAAAGCTGTACAAGGCACCAATGAGACCACCCTTGGTACACAGTTGACAGTCTTGGGTATCTTAACGAAACAAAGGTATATCAGCTTTGGAGGCAGTTTATCAAAGATTCACTAGATTAATCCGAGATGTGGATGGAACTTCTTATAAGGAAAGGTTAAGTAGGCTGGGCTTGTAGTCATTGGAGTTTAGAAGAATGAGAGGTGTCCATTTTGAAATATACAAGATTCTTTGGGGCAAAAACAGAAATTACTAGAAAAGCTCGGCAGATCTGGCAGCATCTGTGAAGAGAGATCAGAATTAACGTTTTGGGTCTGAGTTCTGAGGGAGGGTTACCTGACCCGAAACATTAACTCTGATTTCTCTTCACAGACGCTGCCAGATCTGCTTTTCCAGTGACTTCTGTTTTTGTTTCTGATTTACAGCATCTGCAGTTCTTTAGGTTCTTATTTCAGATTCTTAGGGGACTTGACAGGGCACATGTGAAAAGATTGTTTCCCCTTGTGGGAAAGTCTGGATCCAGATGGCATAATCTCAATAAGGGCTGATCCATTTAAGGCTAGATGAGGGAGAATGTCTTCTCTCTGAGGCTAATGAATCTGTGGAATTCTTTACAACTGAGGGCCATTATGTATAGGCAAGGCTGAGGTAGACAGATTTTAATCAGAGAAGGCACCAAGTGTTATGGAGAAACGGCAGGAAAGTGGAGTAGAGGATTTTCAGACCAGCCATGATCTCATTGAATGGTGGAGTAAATGTGATGGGCTGAATGGCTTACTTCTATGTCTTATGGTCTTATGATCTATCTAAAAATTCAATAGCCCCAAAACTGACCCTTGGGGAACACTGCAGCACATTTCCTGATGATCGTGTAAATAATTGTTATTGGTACTGTTTTCTGTTCCTTAGTCAGGCAGCCCCATTCTTTTTTTCAAACAGCGTGGAAACAGGCCCTTTGGCCCAACAAGTCCACACCGACCCATAGAGCATCCCACCCAGACCAGTCCTCATAACCCACTTAATCTACACAGCCCTGAACACTAAGGGAAACTTAGCATGGCCACGCTACCTAACCTGCACATCTTTGGGCTGTGGGAGGAAACCAGAGTACCCAAAGGAAACCCATGCAGACACAGGGAGAACATGAAAACTCCACATAGACAGTCACCTGAGAGTAGAATCAAACTCATGTCCCTGATGCTGTGAGGCAGCAGTGCTAACCATTGAGCCACCATGCTGCCTCATTCGTTTTGTAGAGTTTTATTTTCCTCACAATTCCGCGATACTTTATTAAACAGTTTCGCAAGTTGATATACACACCTTCAACCATACATCCCTTATTGGCCTCGTCTGTGGATTCATATTATTTGGAAAATAGGAATAACCTAAATGGGGTTGAGAAACAAAGGAATCTGTGAATATAAATAAGCAGATCACTAAAAGTTGTATCCTAGAGGCATTCCATAGAAAAATTAGAGAAATTATGTTGAACTTGAAATAAACTGTGTCTGGGCTACGCTAGAATACTGGGTACAGTTCTAGTTGCCACATTATAAAAGGTTAGTGAGGTCTGGTTACAAAATAAGATTTAAAAAAGCTGAGCCCAAATTTGTGAGGTGACACCTAGCAGGAAAGGTTGAATCGATTAAACTTCTTTTCTCTTGAAACGAAAGGGCTGGGGGCCGACTTAATAGTGATCTTTAAAATTACGAAAGGTTTGGATAGAATGGATAGAGTGCGGTTCAACTTCAGGAAAATGGTAAGACTAGGTGCCATCAATAGGAAATAGTCACCAAGGAACCAAACAGGGAATTCAGAAGAAACTTTATCTTTTGTTTAGAGAGGGGCAAGAATGTGGTACTCACTACAGCAGCGAGTAGCTGAGATGAACAGTATAGGTGCCTTGAAAGGCAATAAGGGCCAAGTTGGATAGGTATAGGAGGGAGAAGGGAATACATAGAGCTGGGTGAAGAAGAATGGGAGGAGGCTGGAATGGAGTATTGACATCGGAATGGGTTGGTCGGGTAGACGGCCTGTTTCGGTGAGTACCTTTTGTGTAATTCATCAGAGAAACATGTT